CCCGCCCGGCCGTCCCCTGCTACGTCTCCTGAGCCCCGGCCGGTGGGCATCCCCAGCCGGCGCAACCCGAACCGGGGGCTCCTGAACTGGGGGCTCCCAAACTGGGGCTATTCCGAACTGGGGGTATCTCAACCCAAGGGCTCCTGAACCAGCAACATCCCAGCCTGGGGGGCATCCCAACCTGGGGGCTCCCGAACCAGAGGCTCCCAAACCAGGGCATCCCCAAACTGGAGGCATTCAGGTATCCCAAAGCTGAGCGATCCCAACGCGGGGGCATCCCAAAGTAGGGGCATTCCCAAATTGGAGGCTCCCAAACCAGGGCATCTCAACCCAGGGGCATTCCAAACCGGGGTCATCCCGAACCCGTGGCTCTGAAACCAGGGGCATCCCAACCCAGGGGCATCCTGAGCCGGGGGGCATCGCCCACTCGCCTCCCCATGCCCCTTCCCAGGGAGCGGGCAGGCGGGCGCGGGCTCCCCGGCTGGGCCAGTTCTAGGACGCGAGAGTATTTATTGTACCAGGAGAGTTTTATTCAGAGACGCTTTTTGTTTTCTAAAAGGCAACTATTTTGGGGGGGCAGGTGGGTCCCCCACACCAAGGTCTATGCAATACGCGATTTCTCCAGCCAGCTTTTGTATGTGGGGGCTGTGGCCCCACCGCCCCCGGGTTCTCTTTAAGGCACGGGAAGGGAGTGAGAGCACAGGGGGTGACATCAGCCACATCCAGTGTCACCACCTGGCATGGACACGGACACGGGCAGACCCCAGCCCTGTCCCTGCTTCCACCCGCCACGTGCCTTCCCTGGGCATTTCATACCCCCTGCCTTCGGAGACCCCACTGCCCGCCTCGCCTTGGCCCTGACGAACCCTTAAGTGGTTCCCTTCGTTATCACCAACCCAGGGTGGGGAGGGCCACCAGGAGATGGCTTTTGCCGGGACAGCTGATTTTGCGCCGCGATAGCAGTTCGTCGGCAAAAGCAAGGCGGCTGCTGAGCCGGCAGGGCTGGGAGGGCTCAGCCTGGGGAGGTGGGCAGGGCTGCAGGCAGGGGTTGGGCAGGGGGTGCGCTTCCTCCTGGTTGTCCTCCACCAGCACGTGTTCGGGGTGGAGGCGGCGGGTGGTGGAGCAACCCAGTAAGGCGTGGTGTCCCTCAGGGGCCCGTACTGGGACCACTACAATTTAATATCTTCATCAGTGATGCGGTGGGATTGAGCGCAGCCCCAGCAAGTTGGCAGGGGGCACCAAGCTGAGTGGTGCCGTTGATCACTGGAGGGAGGGGATGCCATCCAGAGGGGCCTTGGTGGGCTGGAGGAGTTGGCCCATGTGAACCTCATGAAGTTCAACCAGGCCAAGTGCAAGGTCCTGCACTTGGGTCGGGGCAATCCCCAGTACCAGTACAGACTGGGTGATGAATGGAGAAGGACTTGGGGGTACTGGTGGGTGAAAAATTGGACGTGAGCCGACAATGTGCGCTCGCAGCTCAGAAAGCCCATCAGGTCCCGGGCTGCATCCCAAGAAGCGTGGCCAGCAGGTCGAGGGAGGTGATTCTCCCTCTCTGCTCTGCTCTTGTGACACCTCACCTGGAGCACTGCGTCCAGCTCTGGGGTCCCCAGGGCAAGACAGACCTGGACCTGCTGGAGCGGGTCCAGAGGAGGCCACCGAAATAGTCAGAGAGCTGGAACACCTCTGCTACGGAGAAAGGCTGAGAGAGTTGGGGTTGTTCAGCCTGGAGAA